GGGGAGGCCCGATGATCAGTTGAAGGGCGCTAATTCGCAAAATATAGTGATATTTTATGGTGATATATTTTAGATGATTTTCAATTACTTGAACGTAATTTTTTGGGGGCGACTTGGGGGCGCGAGTAATTTTGATGGGGCGTGCTCCCCCGCGCCCTCCCCTATACGCCACTGGATCATGCCGCTGATGATGCTTCCTTAGATACGCCACTGAGTATGCAGACTATATGGAGCCCTCGACCATTAAACAATTAATGAAAATATGAATTTAATTAACAAACACATTTGCAACAATTTGCATGCCACCTGACATCGCTTTTAGACACGGGTCACTGAGGTTAGGTCCGACGAATTAAACAAATGATGTAATTACCCAAATGATAGGAAATTACCCATATGCTTATTATACCCAAATGATACGGAAGTACCCAAATGATATACGGTTCGGTATTAATTCATTATTCATAAGGTTCGCACTCATTAAAAAGTGTTCTTCTGTTGCTTCATTGAAAAAAATTACTGAAAACTCACCTTTTCCATCATTAGCGTGCAAAGCGCCTTTGATATTGTACCTCAGTCGTTTAATTGACGCTTTATAAATTCTTATATTATTATTATTATTATTATTATTGTTATTATTAATATTTCATAACACTCGCTTACCCACCAAAAGTCACTATTCATGATTTAAAAAAAGTTCACTTGTCAAGTTTTATCAAAGGCGGCACAATTGGCTCGGTAGTAGCTAATTAATGGTTCATATTAACAGCCTGCTGTTCATAAATGGTTCACTTTTATTAATTAAGAAGTGGTTTCGAGCCACACACGATCGTACACTAAAACTTATTTTCTATACAATCGCTGTACGCTACCGCCTACAGCTTTCGGTGGTGCTGATTGGTCGGTCGAATCGGGAAGCATTTACTTTTGAATCGGGATTTGCTAAGCAATATTGCTCTGAAAACACTATAACGAACGTGTAGTGATTTTAAGGAAACCAGACGTAATATTCATAATTAATAAGCGAATTTTTTTTTCTATTATAATTAGCGAACCTGTTTTTAAGTTTGACTAGTGTTTGTTTTCCTAGTTTCTAGCGAACCCTTAATGACTAGCGAACTTTTTAAAATCCTTATTAACGAACCTATATGAATGAAGAGCTTATTATCTATAGTCAACTTTTAAAACATATCCTATTATAACGTATATGATTTATTTGTTATAAAACGCTTTGAATAACCCCCCCCCCCCCCCACGACGTATACAGTAAACTCCCTCTCTGGAAACTCGCATTTGAAATAAACACCTTTCTCGAATAAAGGCCCCGGATCGTTCATTTTTATTCCTTGAATAAACTCCGCCCTAATTGACTGTAAATAAATCTAATGAAAGCAAAATTTTCTCAATACATTGTATTAATATTCTGCTTCAGTAGAATTACGTTTTTTCTAACCTGGTTGGAATCGATAAATCTTTATGATCACGCAATAACAACTAACAAACCTTGTGATCAATATACCCTAACACAATAAGTGAACGCTCCTTTGTTCCCTGGAGAGAATTCTTAATTTAAAAGGAGCAATACACCAACTATTATTTTTGCAGATCATTATTTACAGTTAGGCATATAGGCCTACTACAATTATGTATGTATTTATATATATACTGTCTCTTATACACATCTAGATGTGTATAAGAGACAGGTATACTGTAGTAGTAGTAATTCCAAATATTTACAGCATTCATTTTGAAACTAGAGCCTTGCAGACGCCAACGTTCCTATGCATTTTATGTCGAATTCCTGGATCCGCCACTAGCTACTATACTGTAGTTCACCGCGAGAAAAAAAACAGAAGGCTTTGCCATACATACCGGAAGTAACAGCGAACATGTCGGGCTTAATGCAGCATTTTTCCTGACCTCTACAAATAACCGCCCAACAGAGGACTACGAAACACGCCGAATGAAAACGCATCATTCTGATCAATTGAATTCTGTCCTATCTAACTGCGGTATCAAATATCTGACTGGTGTGTTCTGCTGTGATGAACGAGCCTATATTTATACTTTCATGCTTCACTGAGCGATTCTCATGTGATGAAATCATGTGATTGAAGCCGTGGCGGAGCTTAGTGATGTTTGTTTACATTACATCATGCATAAAAAGAAATAAAAAAGCAGTACCCTGTGAAACTGTAAAAAATCTTGTTCCGGTAGAGTTAATCTCACCGTAGGTATATCACGATCACCTCATGTGATAGTCCTAGCCTAATCTCAATTGACCGCAACGTCAATCAAAGAAATACTGTACATTGAGATTACCAAAATTTATTACCAGAATTGAGACGTTATGAATTTAGGAGATTGGAATTGGTACAACAATGTTGGAAAATTTATATAGCCTATAGTATTGTTCATTACCGTATATACCCCTTCCCCATTGAATCCGCCACTGATACCAGTAGTGTAGTAGTAGTCTAAAGCAGGACTTTATAAATAATGTGTTCACCGAACGAAAAATTATTCTTAAAAAATGCATTAATCAATCAATCAATCAATCAATCGAAGAATTTAATAGCGGTAATTATCCACGGTACGGCAGAATGCAATGTTCAATATATGGCGCTATAACAATAGCATTTCCAAGTACATTAACTACTTAATTAACAATCAAGCGCGAATCCAGTAGGGGCACGGGTGCGCACGGTGGCATTGTCCCCTCACATTTTGCCACTAAATTTTTAAAATTTCAATGCACAATGGTTATATATTCTCTCACTTATCTGTTCTAAAACTGCTGTGACCACCCCCTCCCACCGCCCCGTTTGAAAAATTCCGGATCCGGCCTGACAATGCTTGTAAGATTATGAAAACCTAAAACACAAAATTATTACGTGTGTGACAAAAATCTTAATGAGATGGAGAAGAGATAAGATTTTAACATTTTTGTTACGACTCAGACAGAAGCTGAGGTCTTGATCTCAAGAGGAAGAGTGGAGGTGATTCTCCATTACTACCACATGATTTACTACTTATTATTCATTGCGTATGATGCAATATTTTGAAAGAGAATTAACGTGTCCTAATAGAATTAATCAAGGCTACTACAGGTTTCTCGGTATCATGTGATTTATATTATAGGCCTGTATGTACGATGTATATAATATAAACAAAATGGAT